GAGGCTGACAGGCCCTGGCAGTTGAGAGACTTGAAAGAGAGGGAGCAAACACAGGAGACAGAGGAAAGTTTTGTTTGGGTCGCTTTAAGCCCAGAATAAGTTAAGCATGTTTGAGTTCCTAAAACTGACAACATGTATTTAGGTCTGTAAGAGGCATGGCTAAAACATACAGTTGCCTTTCACACCCCAATCACATGTCCCTTTTACTATCTGCTCCAAAAATGTGGGAAACCAGCACTTGGGCAGGCTCCCAAACAGGCATACTGTCATTCACGTAACCCCGTTTTTAATCAGGCAGGGAGTACGTGCCTGGGGGTAGAGCAAGAAGCAACACAGAAACAGCCTCTTCTAAAAGCTCTCATCTCATTTTCAAAATCAGACAAGTAGATCTAACACCAATGTAATTATTTTCCTCATTTTTCTTTTTAACTCACTCCACATTGGACATGAGGGCAGTGTTAGGAGGTATTTTACATTTGGAGGACGTGTGTATGTGTGTGTTTGGGAGGGGCTTAGAAAAGGCTCACCCCCACCCCAGGAAAAGAATGGGTAGGACTTGCTGGGGGTGGGGAGACAGGTGCCGCCTGAGCAGGGACAGTAGGCACTGAGGGGAATTTCTGAAGGTCTAGCCCCAGAAGGAACAACGTACCCAGAGGCTGGGAAAGGAAGCAGGTCATGCCATGGTGGGTTGGAATTTTATCCTAAGATAAAAGAAGCAACTGGGGGTTGGGGTGTGGATTTGAACTGGAACTGGAGTTTGGAGAGACCTCTCTTGAGGCAGGACTGGAGATGGGGAAGTCCTTTTGTGAGGCAGGACCAGTGAGGAGGCTGTCATGGAGACCCAGCAGAGTGACGATGCTGTGTCTGGAAACGCAGGAACCTGGACCAGGGAACAGAGCTGCCTCAGCCACCTCAGATCATCCTCTCAGGAGCCCTTCTGAGGGGTGGGGTAGGAATGTCCTATACACTGCAAAGACAGGGATGCATTTGCCTCATCTACCCCCTCCAGGCCAGACTGCCTGAGTCTGGATCCCGGCTCTGTCCCCGAGAGTTTCTTAGTTTCTTAACCTCCCTGAGCCTCAATATCCTCATCTGTAAAATGGGGATAATAATGGTACCAAACTCATATGGCTTTTGTGAAAATTAAAAGAACATATATATACATATATATATATACACACACATATATGTAACATGTCTAAAACAGGTAAGGACAAAGTGAGTCAGTAGAGCATTTATCTTTATTTCTGTCCTATGTTTTGTAGCATGTGGGTTTGTTGGGGGGGGTGCTTATAAGATTTTCAAAAAGAGCCACCCTCTGCCAACCACAAAACACTCTTAGATTCCCATGACCCTCGATTCACTTGGCAGATAACTGAACCCCACCACTGTTAGCTCTGACTGTCCTGTTTATCACCACAAATCTCCTCAACATTTACAGGAGGCGAAGACACCATAGTCACATGGGGCTGCTGGGTAATTCAAACGTGGCCAGACCAAACTGAGATGTGCTCTAATAAAAGTATAAGATACACACAAGGCTTTGAAGACTTAGTTTGACCAGAAGAACGTAAAATAGCTCAATAACAATTTTTATATTGATTTCATAATATATTATACATATTGGGTTAACTAAAACATATTATTAAAATTAATTCACCTTTTTTTTTAAATTCCTTCCTTCTAACTCCTTGGATTTATTTTAATTGCTGTGTTCCTAACTTCTTCCTAATTTAGCTGACTAGCTCATTAGTTTTTGACTATTTTCTTGCTAATATGAGTAATTAAGACTGTGTATTTCTCTTTAAATACTGATTTAGTTGCATCCCACAAGCCTTACGTGTACAATTCATTCTACAAGTTTTTTTTTTTTTTTTTTTTTGCGGTAAGCGGGCCTCTCACTGTTGTGGCCTCTCTCGCTGCGGAGCACAGGCTCCGGACGCGCAGGCTCAGCAGCCATGGCCCACAGGCCCAGCTGCTCCGCGGTATGTGGGATCCTCCTGGACCAGGGCACGAACCCGTGTCCCCTGCATCGGCAGGCGGACTCTCAACCACTGCGCCACCAGGGAAACCCCATTCTACAAGTTTTGATTTATATATTTTCATTGTTATCACTTCTTTATCTTTCAAATTCAAAATTTTTAATTTTTAAAATTATATTCTTAAATTGATACATAATTTAGTTTCACTGTGTTCAGAGAACTTGGTCAATACGATACCGATTATTTTAAATGTTAGGACTTACTTTATGACCTGGTATAAGTTCGATTTTTGTAAACGTATAATCTTCACTTGCTGGAACTATGTTTTCTATTTAATCAGTTTGATCAAGCTTATTAATTGTGTTGCTTGTTGAATCAATCCCTTATTGGAAAAAAAAAAATCCCTTACTGGTTTTTAGTAAGCTTGTTCTATCAATTACGGAAAGAGATATGCTAAAATCTCTCACTATTAGGCAGGTTTGTCAACTTTTTCTGTCATTCTGTCACTTTTTACTTTATACAGCTTGAAGCTGTGTCATTAGGCTAGAAGAATAAGCATAAGAGTTAGAAGGTTTTTTTATCTTCCTGGGAAACTGAAACTTTGATCCACCGGTTTCCTTTTAATTTTTTAAATGTAGCTACTAGAAAAATTTTAATTATATACATGGCTTGGCTTATATTTCCATTGGACAGAGCTGGTCCAGAGGAAGAATAAGCAAGGAAACCAGCTACAAATCCTGGGCGACTAAGGACTTGACTGCAGAAAATGACAAGCAAAGAGAGGAGAGTACTGGCAGCCCTGTAAAAGTACCACAACTCTGTTCTCCTCTCTTGCTGCTGAAGTCTAGATTGGAAATGAGAACAAGACGCTTGTGAAAAGCAGAAAGGAGTTGATGAACTCAATACATATAAGCCTTTAATTATGAAAATGACACCTAGTCTTAAAGGCAGACTTCATGTTCAAAACACAACCTGCTATTCCATCAAAACAAATTTGTTATTTGTATCACTTTTTCCCTGTTTAAATTAATCAAATCATACCACCTGATTCTGAACTATTAATTCCAGATATTTAAAACTGGAAAAGGGGAAGAATTCATGGGTATAAGGAGCTGATGAACCATCCAGTAACTTAATCCTGGATATTCTTCCACACTCTAAAGGGGGAACAAAAATGTCTTGCTGAGTTTGGAAAATCTGTTGAACAGTAGTATACTTATGCCTACTTTCCTAGTATGTATGCTCTACTTAGAAAAACAAAGAAAAAGCTGTCCAGGTAAGGAAAGCCTGGTAGTGTCCTTGTAGCCCTCCAACCTCGTTTTTCTCCCGCTCCCCTATCCCTCTTCCTCACTCCCCCTCTGCACGTGTGCTCAAGCTGGGTCTCTCTCCCCGGACAGCCTGTGTGTCACCAACCACAGTCATGCAGTCATGGCTCCCTCCCACACTAGGCCAGTGATTCACCCACTTCTGGATGCCTTTGCTAACTTATACCCCTCATACCGATCCAGCCCTTGCTTCTCCTTCCTCAGCAGTTAGGGAAGTTCGTTCCATCATTAATGTGTGTATACTCCCAGTTGCTTTAATTCTGCCAAGGCTTCCCAGCTAGACCAAAAACATAGAGCATACTCTCTGGGAGTGTCTCCACAGGCAGTTCAGATTAAATCGCTTCTCAGCAACTAGCAAGGTGTGAAAAATGAGGTTTGACCCTCTTCCAAGACTAGCCCTTCCGCCCTCAGCACCTGGATGACTCACACAGAGGACCCAGAACCTTTTTTACTGTCCCATTCACCTCCCAAGAGCCAACCTGCTAGATAAACTCCTGCCAAACAGACCAGCAGGGAAAGCAGGGAAGGACTGAAGGAGGCACATCAAAGAACAAAGGGTTTGTTCTTATCCTGTCTTGAATATAGTCTTAAAATTCAATACTACTACTCAACCATAAAAAAGAACGAAATAATGCCATATGCAGCAACATGGATGGACCTAGAGATTGTCATACTAAGTGAAGTCAGACAAATATCATATAATATCACTTATATGTGGAATCTAAAAAAACGGTACAAATGAACTTATTTACAAAACAGAAATAGAGTCACAGATGTAGAAAAGAAACTTATGGTTACTAAGGGGGGTGGGGGGAGGGATAAACTGGGAGATTGGGATTGACATATACACGCTACCGTATATACAACAGATAACTAATAGGGACCTACTGTAGAGCACAGGGAACTCTATCTACTCAGTACTCTGTAACGACCTATATGGGAAAAGAATCTAAAAAAGTGTGGAGATATGTACATGTATAACTGATACACTTTGCTGTACAGCAGAAATTAACACAACACTGTACATCAACTATACTCCAATAAAAATTAAATTAAAAAAATTCAGTACTAATCTATTGTGGTAATATGAAACAATTTGGCAGTCTGTGCCAAAATCATAAGCATTTTCAAAATAGGTAGTCATAACTGTGCATTTTTAGAATTTCTGCCTGTTGGCCCTCTCCGTCTTCTACAAACACCTTCGTGCCTTCCCACCTCACCCATTTCTTTTCTCGCCTAGAGGAAGACACAGCTACTAATCATAACCAAGGTTCATTTTATCTTACAGCAACAGCGGCACTCAGACAACGGACAGACACATGAAAAGGCTAACGACATTCCAGTCACAGGGCTCTGCCAGTTCACATTAGTCTCTCCTTGTCCCAGCACTGACTGGAACTTAGGTGATCCCCTGGCTCTACGACTAGAAATTTAAGACATTCTTCTAAACCATCAAGCTTTCAGGATTATGTGAATGAAACCACAACCCATCCTGACAGTTTTGAGTTTGTGCCCCTTCACTCAACAGACAGGATGCCTCTTCCAGGTTCAGGACAGCGCACTCTTCTGTGGAAGAGGATTACCAAGAGAAGGGCTCCGCTTAACACCAGAGGGCAGGAGATGCGTCTCCTTTCTCTTTGTAATCCCAACACCCAGCATGGTGCGTGGCCTAATGAGCAGGCAACCCGAAGGTGCCAGATGAAGGGTAGCAGGTAAAAACCATTTTCCCTTTTAAATGAACAATACCTAATGAAGCAACGTCATAAACACGAATTAAGACATGAGGACATAAATTTGTCTTTCAAGTCAGCTAATGATTCTGCAGGACTCTCTTCATTGGTCAACACATTTTGCAGTCAGAACCACAGAACCAGGGGCCTGAAAGGGGCCTTGGCCATCAGTAGGTCAAACCTCCCAGTACAGATCAGGAGATGGAGTCCTACAGGGGGATCAGTGTCCGCCAAGGTCACCCACCTGATGTGGGGTTGGGGAGGACCCCTCGCCTCTTCCTAGTCGAAGATGCTCCCCGAAAATCTTGCATTACTTACACACTAAAGGCTCATATGAATGCCATTGCTTACAATTCAGGAGAAACCAAAGGTCACCAAAACGTGTCTTTTCCGCAGGGCTGGCCGCATTGAGGAAGCAGGGAAGATCACTGGCCAATTTCTACCTGCAGACACCGCACGCTTTCCCGATGGATGCAAAGGTCAGTTTCCGGAGCTGCTAGTCATAGGGTCCCCCAATTCTGTCCCGGGGAAATGAGTCAACTCTGCTCTCCTGGGCTCAGAAGCTTCCAGCAATGAATTAAACCCCAAGTCGATGTGAAAGACTGAGGGGAAAGGGACACCGCGCCTGGACCCCACGTCCCGGTCGTTCACCCCTCAGCCTCCACCGCGTCCACACTTGCGCGGGCCGCGGCGCCTCCCGCCGGTCCACTCCGCGCGAGGCCACGACTCCCAGCCCGCGCCCCCGCCAGGCGCGTTTGGGGGAACCGTGCCCTGGGCGCTGCCCGCGGGGGCTTGGGCGGAGTCTCCGGGCCCAGCCACGCGGGGGCAGGGACGGATCTGCGCCGCCGCCCCCGGCCCGCGGGCCCCGCTACGCAGAGGAGGGGGCTGCGCCACGTACCTCGACCGGCAGGTGCCGCCGCCGCCACCGCCGCCTTGGTCCGCGGCTGCAGGGGACGCCGCTCCGCGCCGCCCTCCGCCTTCGTCCGCATATTAGGGAGCGGGAGCCAGCCTGCCACCAGTCCTGGGCCCGGCGCCCCGGCCCGCCCCCTGCGCCGCGCTAGCGCCCATTCAGTCCCGGACCATCCGCTCCCCAGCTCAGATGCGGAGGAGGGGCATGGGGCGGGGCCTGGAGTCACGAGGACACGAGAACCAATCGGAGCGCGCGAGGGCCCCAGAGGCTGCCCCGCTGCACCGACGCTCAATCCTCCACCCTGCGGGGTTAGGGGAACTGGCCCCCCCCAGCCAGACGCCCGTAGCTGGAAACGCGCTTGGCTGTGTGCTGGCCCGGGTGAGGGTCCCGGGCACCCACAGCCCTCTGGATCTCTGCGTGCGGTTAGATAAAGAAGGAACAAAAGGTGTTTATAGGCTGGTTATAGGCTTTTACTGCACAGAGGACTCGTAGATGCGGAGCTGCTGAATGAAGGGGCTTTATGTAGTCACGTGCTTTATTCTCTAGGACGGACCCGCAGGCAATACTGGTTTGGAGTTCCTGGAGCCCTCGACACAATGAGAGCAGCCTGAGTGTGTCTGGGCATTTGCCGAACAGCTTTCTGTTGTTCCACGTATCAGAAAAAATCGAGGGAGCACTAGTTTCACAGATGGGTAATTAAGACCCAGAGAGCAGAAATGAGTCACCCTAAATCATTAGGGCATTTAGTGGCAGAGCCAGGATCAGAACCTGTGCTTGGAGCGCCCATTTCCATAACTCCGGAGTCCCCCTCGATTCTGGAGCGGAAGTGTCATACGATTTTTAAAAGTGTGAATATTAGTGAATCCCCCAATTCAGGAATTAAGAGGACTTGAAAGCACGGATATGTTATTTCGTTAACACAGGCAGGTGTGTATAATGCGCCTGGGACATTGCTGTGCCGTAGGACTTGTTGACTCTTCAGTAAAGTCAGTGAAGTTGATCTGCTCTCATAATTTCCTTTCGGGTTGGTGAGCACAGAGCATCGCAGTCGTGTGCCTGTGATACCGGTTCCAGTTCCCGTTTGAAAAAGAAGATCCTAGACAAGGAGCAAAATATATTTGCGTGCACCGAGAGTCCTGTCACTCTTTGTTCAACAGCTTGCACACGGTTTGTACAGCTCCAAACCCTCTTTGGGGCTGTGTTCTTCCCTGGGTGGGGGCAGGGGTGCTGGGGGGAAAAAAAAATGGTGGTATCTGGGTAACAAAATCAGAAGGGAAATCTCGGAGATGAAGGGGTGGAAGGACTCTGCCTTCACACCTTTCAAAGGGATTTTGTAGTAAAAATGTTTCTGGATTATTTTAATTTGAAGACACATGAGCATTTTGAAAATGTTGGAGGAAAAGCTGTCACTAGGAGATCTGAATCCAGTGTATTGGCCAAGGCTGGCCAACAGAGCAGCAGCCTAGCTCTCTGTTGTCTCCAGGGTCAATGACAGCTGCAAGGAAAATGCTGAGCACCTCCCCCCCTCTCTCTTGGAGACCAGCAGAGGCCTGCCTGATTATCAGATACTCTTTACCTCTACTTGCCTCAGCGGCTTTTCCCCTTTTCTCCCAGATACTCCTTGTCTATAAAGCCAGGCCTTGTTTGAAAGTATTTATTTAGAGCAGGAACAGTTGACCTTCCAGTCAATCCACCACCATGATGAGGCCTTATCACCACCACTGTCCTCTCCTGGGCAGGACCCTCATCCATCCACCTCCGCATTTCAGCCAGCCCTGAGACAGGCATGGCCCAGATACCCTTTATGGCTGGCATGGGGGTCAGCAGTACTCTGGCTTGGAAGGTAGTGAGAGAAGCTGACCCACTTGTGCAACAAGACAAGCCGTGCCCTAAACATCCTTTCCACTGCCTGCAGGGTCACCCTTAGTTACTTTTGGCCACGCCACAGGGCATGCAGGATCTTAGTTCCCCAGCCAGGTGTCTAACCTGCACCCCATGCAGTGGAAGCGCGGAGTCTTAACCATGAGACCGCCAGGGGAGTCCCCGCCACCGTTAGTTACTGTTCAGGGTTAAGACAGAGATTCCCAAACGGTAGATGAGAATCAGCCACTGGATCTCAAAGCCTCAACTAGAATCTCTTCAAGTCAGTGACTGGTCTCAGAAAAGCCTTTGGACCCTGACTAGCAAAATGGTGGGGCTATTTGTGAATCTGGGACAGCACCCATGATTTTGTGATTCGTTAGTTCCTTATGCTCATTACTTTGGTCATTCTCCTAGCTGGCACTGCCCCCAACATCCATCCCATCTACCCCCTCTGTGATGCAACATACGGCTTAGGTAAGTCTGCCGCACTCTTAGCTCTATGACTGGGCTGCGATTGGTCTAAGTTGGTGGTTCTCAAAGTATGGTCCGCAGACCCTTAGCTGGGGGGGGCGGGGGTGGGGAGCGGATCCCTGAGGACCTTTCAGAGTATCTCTGAAGTCAAAATTATTTCATTATAATCTAAGACTTTATTTACCTTTCTCACTGATGGTGCAAAAGCAAAGGTGTGCGAAAGGTATGCAACTGTAGTAGTATTTTCACCACCACACATTCATGGTGAAAAAAAAATGCGGTTTCATTTAAGAATGTTCTTGATGGAGCAGCAAAAATGTGATTACCTCATTAAAATCTCAATCCCTGGGACCTTCCTGGTAGCGCAGCAGTTAAGAATCCGCCTGCCAATGCAGGGGACATGGGTTCGAGCCCTGGTCCGGGAAGATCCCACATGCCGCGGAGCAACTAAGCCTATGAGCCACAACTACTGAGCCCACGCGCCTAGAGCCCATGCTCTGCAACAAGAGAAGCCGCCACAATGAGAAGCCCGCGCACCGCAATGAAGAGTAGCCCCTGCTCACCGCAACTAGAGAAAAGCCACTTGCACCAACCAAATAAATAATTTAAAAATTAAATAATTAAAAAAAAATCTCAATCTCTCTTGAATACACACCGTTTAAATATTTTATATGGCAAAATGGAAACTGCACATAAAACACTTTCGCTGCAAACTGAAGTATGATGGTTGTGTAAGGAGAAGCACTCATGCAATCATTTGAGTTGCAAGCTGAACTAGCTGGTTGGTTTCTGTTTTGTTTTTTTCATGGAACACCATTTTTGCTTGAGAAAACAGCTGACAAATTATGGTTATTTCAACTTGGGTATTTGGTAGACGTTTTCTTGAAAATCAACTAAGCAATCCTGTCTCTTCAAGGACAACAATTGACTACTTGTTGCCAATGGTGAAAAAATTCCAGATTTCAAAAGGGACTTGGAATTTTGGAAAACTTGTATCACCATCAGCTTGACAGCTTGTCAGTATTTCAGGACTTTTCTGATGTGATCAATGGTAATATAAATGAAGGTGATTTTTGGACATTAGATAATGTATTGTGTGCCAATATTTGGAAGACCTGTATTTACTCAGTGAATCGATGTTTTCCAAATGGCTAATGCATGATGTTACAAAATCATGTATGGGTAAAAGATCCGTTTTAAATGCAAGGCAGACAATGGGTTTTCTTTTATTTATATTTTAATATAAAACAGATTTTACTTGTTTATTTATTTACTGGCCGAGCCGCGTGGCATATGGGAATCTTAGTTCCCCAACCAGGGATTGAAAGCCTGCCGCCTGCAGTGGAAGCGCGGAGTCCTAACCACTGGACCGCCAGGGAATTCCCCAATGGATTTTAATTTAACAGTATGAAAAGTTCATAGCTAAGGTTTCAGATTCCACAATGCAACAAACTTTTAAGAAATCACCTCTTGTAGAGTTTTGGTGTACTATCAAAGAAGAATGTCCACAATTATCCTAAAAGGCCATTAAAATATTCCTCGCTTTTCCAATTACATGTCAATGTGAAGCAGGTTTTCTTCACGTACTTTAACCAAAACAATTTTCAACAGATTGAATGCAGAAGCAGATATGAAAATCCAGCTTAATTCTATTAAGCCAGACTTAAAGAGACTTGCAAATATGTTTTTTAAAAAAGCCATTCTTCTCATCATCTTTTTGTTTTGTAAAACATAGACTTTTTTGCCAACATAGTAACATGTAATTTTATTATTTTTTATGAATTATGTTATTATTTTTTAAAGAATTTAATTTTTTCTTCCAGTTTTATTGAGATATAATTGACATACGGCACTGTATAAATTTAAGATGTACAACATAATGCTTTGACTTACATACATCATGAAATGACTATCATAATAAGTTTAGTGAACACCCATCATCTCATATAGATACAAAATTAAAGAAACAGAAAAAAAATTATTCCCTCATGGTGAGAACTCTTAAGGTTTACTCTCTTAACAGTGTTCATATATAATGTACAACAGTGTTGATTATATTTATAATGTTGTACATTACATCCCTAGTACTTATTTACTTTATATCTGGAAGTTTGTACTTTTTGACTGCTCTCATCCAATTCACCTCCCCTGCATCCTATGCGTTTGGTAACCACAAGCCTGATCTCTTTTTCTGTGAGTCTGCTTGTTTATTGTTTGCTTGTTTTTAAAGTATAATCAACCTACAACACTATGTTAGTTCCTGTTATATAGTATAGTGGTTCAATATTTCTGTACATTTCAAAATGATCACCATGATAAGTCCAGTTACAATCTGTCACCATATAAAGATATTAAATAATTATTGACTATATTCCCCACACTGTACATTTTATACTCATTACTCATTTATTTTGCAACTGGAAGTTTGTATCTCTTAATCACCCTCACCTATTTCTTTCCTCCCTTCACCTTTCTCCCCTCTGGCAAAAACCTGTTTGTTCTCTGTATCTATAACTCCGTTTCTGTTTTGTTATGTTTGTTCATTTGTTTTTTAGATACCACATATAGGCGAAATACAGTCTATGTCTTTTTCTGTCTGAATTATTTCACTTAGCATAATACCCTTTAGGTCCATATATGTTACCACAAATGGCAAGATTTCATTCTTTTTTTTATGGCTGAGTAATATTCCAGTGTGTGTGTGTGTGTGTGTGTGTGTGTGTATCTCACATCTTCTTTACCCATTCATCTATTGATGGGCGCTTAAGTTGCTTCCATATCTTGGCTATTGTAAATAATGCTGCAGTGAACATAGGGGTGCATATATCTTTTTGAGTTAATATTTTCATTTTCTTCAGATAAATATCCAGGAGTGGAATTGCTAGATCATATGGTAATCCCATTTTCAATTTTTGGAGGGTTCTCCATACTGCTTTCCATAGTGGCTGCAACAGTGCACAAGGGTTTCCTTTTCTCCACATCTCTGCCAAAATTTGTTATTTGTTGTCTTTTTGCTGATAGCCATTCTGGCAGGTGTGATGGTGTCTCTTTGTGGTTTTAATTTGCATTTCCCTCATGATTAGTAAGGTTGAGCATCTTTTCATGTGCCTGTTGGCCATTTGTGTTTCTTCTTTGGAAAAATGCCTATTTAGATCCTCTGTCCATTTTTTAATCTGTTGTTTGTTTTCTTGATGTTGAGTTGTATGAATTCTTTGTATATTTTGGGTATTGACCCCTTATTGGATATATCGCCTGCAAATATCTTCTCCCATTCAGTAGGTGACCTGTTCATTTTGTTGGTAGTTTCCTTTGCTATGCAAAAGCTTTTTAGTTTGATGTAGTCCCATTTTTTAATTTTTGCTTTTGTTTCCTTTGCCTGAGGAGACATATCCCCCTGCAAAATTACTAAGACTGAGGTCAAAGAGTATACTGCCTATACTCTTTGACCTTTCAGTCTTACATTTAAGTCTTTAATCCATTTTGAATTTATTTTTGTGCATGGTGTGAGAGAGTAGTCCAGTTTGGTCCTTTTGCGTGTAGCTGTCCAGTTTTCCCAACACCATTTATTGAAGACGTTCTTTCCCCCATTATATGTTCTTGCCTCCTTTGTCAGAGATTAATTGCCCATATAAGTGTGAGTTCATTTCTGGGCTTTCTATTCTGTTCCATTGATCTCTGTGTCTGTTTTTGTGCTAGTACAATACTGTTTTGCTTACTGAAGTTTTGTAATATAGTTTGAAATCAGGGAGCATAATACCTGCAGCTTTGTTTTTCTTTTCCAAGACTGTTTTGGTTACTTGGGGTCTTTTGTGTTTCCAAACAAATTTTAGAATTATTTGTTCTAGTTTTGTGAAAAATGCCATTGGTATTTTGATAGTGATTATGTTGAATCTGTAGATTGCACTGGGTAGCTTGGTAAGTTTAACAATATTAGTTCTTCTAATCTATGAGTATATCTTTCCATTTGTTTGGGTCATCTTCAGTTTCATCAGAATCTTATAGGTTTCTAAGTAGAGGTCATTCACTTCCTTAGTTAGATTTATTCCCAGGTATTTTATTTTTTTTTATGTGATTGTAAATGAGATTATTTTCTTAATTTCTCTTTCCGATAGTTCACTATTAGTGTATAGAAATGATCTCTGTATTAATTTTTTATCCTGAAATTTTACCAAATTCATTGATGAGTTCTGGTAGTTTTTTGGTGGGATCTTTAGGATATTCTGTGTATAGTATCATGTCATCTGCAAACAGTGACAGTTTTACTTCTTCCTTTCCAATTTGGATTCCATTTATTTCTTTTTCTTGTCTGATTGCTGTGGCTAGGACTTCCAATACTATGTTTGCTAAAAGTGGCAAGAGTAGGCATCCTTGTCTTGTTCCTGATCTTAGAGGAAATGTTTTCAGCTTTCACCATTTAGTATAATGGCAGCTGTGGGCTTGTCATATATGGTCTTTATTATGTTCAGGTATGGTCCCTCTATACCCACTTTGTTGACAGTTTTTATCAAAAATAGATGTTGAATTTCATCAAAAGTTTATTCTGCCTCTATTGAGGTGATCGTATGATTTTTATTCTTCAATTTGTTAATGTGGTGAATCACACTGATTGATTTGTGGATATTGAACTATCCTTGCACCTTTGGGATAAATCCCACCTGATCATAATGTATGATACTTTTAATGTATTGTTGAGTTTAGTTTGCTAACATCTTGTTGAGGATTTCTGCATCTATGCCCATCAGTGATATTGGCTTGTAATTTTCTTTTTTGTGTGGTATCTTTCTGGTTTTAGTATCAGGGTGATGCTGCCCTCACAGAAAGAGTTCAGAAGTATTCCTTCCTCTGCAATTTTTTGGAATAGTTTGAGAAGGATAGGTGTTAACTCTTCTCTAAATGTTTGGTAGAATTTACACATGAAGCTGTCTGGTCCTAGACTTTTGTTTGTTGGGAATTTTTTGATTACTGATTCAATTTCATTGCTGGAAATTGGTCTGTTCATATTT